TATAGAAACAATAGACTTGACTAACATAATTTGTATAGGAATTTTAGGAAATTAGTGCATAATTATGTTTTTTTAACACTATGTGGAAGAAAATATATAAAGGCATGTGTCAGTAATAGTTTGTAAAACGTGAAATAAGTAGCTATCCATGACAAAATACATTCATAAGAATAATACTTGTAGGATTTAGTTTTATTACATGCTTTGATTTGAACATATTTATAAAATAAGGTACATTGTAACATACAGAATGTGTTCTTTAGTTGTGTAAAAGGCAGACTTATGTTCAAGATTGTCAACTGCTTCTTCTTCAGCAAAGCTTTATCACAGTGTGTGTGTGTGTGTGTGTGTGTGTGTGTGTGTGTGTGTGTGTGTGTGTGTGTGTGTGTGTGTGTGTGTGTGTGTGTGTGTGTGTGTGTGTGTGTGTGTGTATCTGTGTGTTTGGGTGTGTTTATGCGTGTGTGCGTCTGTGTGAGTGTGTGTGTGTGTGTGTGTGTGTGTGTGTGTGTGTGTGTCTGTGTTTGANCTCCCGACTGCTGCTCGGGTCTGCTCGGTCGGCTTCCGGATGAGGAGGCATTCGTTCGACCAACTTACAGTAGATAACATTACAAACATTTTTAACAGGGGCCATAATAGTGTAAATAATGTTTGTTTTGGCAGTTACAACTGAATGTAATGTTTTCTACTTTTTTACAGATGGAAAGTGTCTTGACCAACAACTTAAGTATTTCTTATAGCTATGCAGGGCATGCAAGCGAGCAAACACAAACAAGAACAAACAAACAAGTGAAATGAAGAATAAAATTGAAATTGTACAATATAATATTGTGTTGGTTCATCTTATAATTCAGTCTAGAGAATGCACCAGACCTGCAAAAATCTAAATGTTTTAGGGGGAGGCCCCCCAAACCCTTCGTGGCATTTCGTCCGCACGCATTTTTCAGGGCAATCTTTATTGGACTCAGGGCCATCTGTAAATTAGCTTAGATTGCCCAAAATCCTTAATGTCATGCACTGCCGAGATTCATTTTTAATAAAAAGCGATATCACAATAGTAACCAAAGTATTTTTGCTCTCACAGTAGCCTCTACTACTTTGTACCCTCTCACAGAACTATTCACAGCTCAAAGCCTTCTAATTTTGGTCAAACAGCAATTTGCCTATACAGTGCAACTACAAGGCTATCTACTGTATTTGAATGACTATTTGAAACTATGCGGATCCAACCCGTTTTGTTCTCGTGTAAACGGGGCCTCAACTGTCGGAATTTGTCCTGGCATGTTAAGTGGGAGTGGACTTGAAATCCTTAACTCAAGGTGTAGAACAATTAAGTTATCAAGCCAATTGCATTACTTACTACAACCTGAAATCGCAGAAATCAGAGTTCAAATTACACACAATATTAAGTTGATGTAATTACCAACATTATTACGTCAACACAACTTATAAATTAATGTTTGCAACTTAAAATGTTTATCAAAATCAATTAACTCACATTTTTATCTTGCAACCATACATTTAATTAAGTGGAGGTGAAAGGTCGCCTGAATTCGTTTTTAGCGTGCAGCCACTAGGAGAAGAAAATCAAAGTGAGTATCCCTCATCTCCTTCCTTTGCATGCAAACTCTCTGTGGATCCTCTAAGCAGGGGCTACTGTAGCAGACCATTAGCGAGTGCGGTACTATATCATATGCACTTAATTATTAACAGCTCATTCATTCCAATGAACCTGCCGTGAGAGTCAAAAATCCAGTGAGAGTATTGTTGGAATCAACCAAAACCAACCAGAATAAATAAATAGAGTTACAATTACATGTTAGACTCCATGTTCACTCACTTTATACTCAGGGCACCACAGTGATACCTCCCAGACAAAATTCCAATCTTGCGCTGCAACTACACTTTTAATCCAACCTTTCCATCTGCAGTACCAGATGAGATGACACGCAATTAACTTATCGGGCAAATAGGGGATTAGTGAATCCTACTGACCTTCATTTATCCTCCCCAACAAGGCAGATTAGCAAAACATGACTTATTTAAATCACATATCATTCTCCGTTAAATACTGTATTATTGGCTGGCCTGGATGTGGTGTACTGAAACAGGCTTATCAAATAATAATATGATCTCATCATCGCTGAGACGCTGTGTTCAAAAGAGGCACACAAAAAAAGATGAGAGGACATGTTAGAGCTCTGTTAGATCTATGAGCTGGTTCATTATATGTGCGATTTGAAAACCTCCCAGGCTGGAGCTCTTTGATGAGTCCAGTGAGAGGACATGGACAGAGGGAAGGGGGGGTCGCCAGATACTTCTTAGGTTACCATCTGCCTGCATGGCATAAAGGGATGAAACCCAAACTAGTGCTGGCTGCAGACCAGAGGAAGGTGGTGTTCCTCTCCACACAGGAGCTCTCTGTATTCACCTGTTTGTACAGCTCGAGGCTTATTCCTTCCTACTCCGTCTTCTGAAACCAACATTCCAAATTAGTCACTGTCAAGTCAAATATCTGCTTCCCTCTTTGAAAATGCCCAGGAGAGCGTGCCTGCTTTATATTTAAACTGTTAAATATTTCTATATGAGTCAAAATGATATGATATAACTCGACATTCTGAGTTTGCTCCCAAATGATAAACAATTTTTTGGACAGAAACAGCTTTGTTCCATCATCATCAGCAAGTATCATCACCACCACCACCTCCTCCCAAATGACTGATAGGGGTAATTAGCTGCATAAACACTTCTCATATGGTATTCATGTTCATTACGGTCACATTGCATAACCAGGATGGAGCACGGAGTCGCTAATGAGACTGGAAGACAAAAGAACCTGAGGAAAGTCTGCATTTTATAACAGAGCGAGACATGTTGAGACCTAATTAGACGTAGCTACTTGAAAAAGCAGGATGAAAAACAGGCTTTGTTTTGATGCGATTTCTCCACCCGTCAACAAAGAAACCCTCAATGGGAAATAACTGAGCGGGAATAATTAAGCCTGAGCACAACTACACTCTCTGCTGACAGGATCAGTGGAAAATCTAACTGTTTAAGTGATCAGTTTTGTGAGTGTGTGTGTTCAAAGCATGCTCCACATCCACCATCACCCCTCTCATGGGCTGTTCAATAAAGGCATGCAGCTATAGGGGCTGCTGGCAGGTGGATCACCTTTCACGGCAGGTAGAGCAGGTTATTGAGAGGATATGGAATGGGCACATCCTTCCTGACAAACCTGTTTGCAATAGAAAGCTGAGCTGTGGTTGCATTTTGGCTCACTTTTTAAGACTTTTGTAAAAAAAAGTAATATGATAACCTACAGAATAGTCATAGGATACCACTGTGACCAAGTTGATGGTGTTTCATACAATTCAGGGATTTATCCCTCAGGCAGCAAGACTGTTGCTCGTACTCCCATAAGCTTCTGATATGTGTTGTGCTGTGCATGTGCTGTGCTGTGTCATAAAACCTTTGATTTGAACCTATAATCATCTTCACATCATAATAATACCCATTTACCTGTTGTAACACCTAGGCCTATCGTTATTTGTAATATAAAGTTGATGTTAATTTCCACGCTGCTCACTGACCCACGGTCCCCACAGTGCTCACCTTCTCTCCGGGGAGCCTGCAGCACGGAGGCATCTCTGATGGCCCGAGCCCACCTCTCCGCCTCCTGGAGGTTAGCGAGCGGGTCCTGGACCAGTGCCACCCGAAAGCCCTGCTCCACTCTCTGCCGGGCCACTCCGGCGCTCATCCAGCGCCTCTTGAACGGATAGAAATAGGCTGCAAAGTAAGCGCCGACATCCGCGCTGTCCGGCCCTCTGTACGCCCGGCAGCCCACACAGTCTGTCAAGTTAAACAGCACCTTGCTCCGGCCGGGTGAGGAGCAGATCCTCTGCACGGTGAGGACGCTCTCCGTGAGGCTCACCGAGTACCGGACCCTGTCGTCGAGCGGGTCCGTGAACTCCCCGTACAGCACTCCCACCGCCCCGTTCCTCTGGCGGGATGGGTCCGCTTCGTCTTTCTCCATCCCGGGCGGACTCGGAGAGAGCGTCCCGCAGGCCGGTGTGCGGATGGCGGTGCAGACTCCTCTCAGCCTGCTGTGGGACCCTCTGACTGACAGCAGCAGCTTCCCCGGTCCACAGTCTCTCCCTAGTGACTGGAGGAGGAATGGCAGTGATGGAGCAGGAGGAGCACAGCTGACTGTCCTGCATCAGGGTTATTGTCAAGCAGGTTTGTAAGGTATTTGCCTTGGTGTATTGGTGCACGATAAAAATGCAGATAAACAAATATTAAAAACTAGGCTTAAAAAAATGCTAATTTCTGTGTAATTAATATTTGTTTGACATGACAGAGCAATAGGAAGCAGTGTGTGTGGTTGAGTATATTTCAGAAGTTGTGCCAAGATTAACACTATTAAGAATAGAACAAGACACATGCTAAACAGAGATAATAGTCCAAAAACATGTATGTAAGCATGTGGATCCCGTGGAAATATACAGGAAACCATATCGAATAGAATATTTAGGCCAAACAAACATTGTCAATTTTCAAGCCTACAACTAGGCTATGTAGCATTAAGAACACTCCACCAAAAAGGCACACATAATTAATTGATCAATTACAAATTAAACTATTGGTAAATATTGACCAATACAGATGTATTCCTTGCTCAGGCCATGCAAATTGTGTTTTCCCTTACATAATAAGTCAATGAAATAAATCAAATGTACAGTTCTTTTGTTTCATGTGTTACAAATAACCAGTATGAAGTTACTTTTACGTATGTCTATGCTACTCACATATTAGGCATGCATACACATTGGTGTTTTTCCGTATATGATTCATACAGTTGTAGGCCTACTTAGTATATGTATGGAGATCATAGATGGATATGTAACGTTACTTACAAACTTTTTGCCACACCCAGTCAGTAGTCACGTGGGATGTGACGTTTCCAACCTATAAAAGCCTCGCCACGCGAGACTTCCGTTCCTGTTCTCCTTCACTGTCTGCGTTGAAGCTACACTCTGCAGCATGTGGCTCTCACAGGGCATGATACTTCTATATCTAAATATGAAGTTTGCTGCAGACGAACCACCCTGAAAAGGTAATGCTTTATGATTATATAATGATACTTAAATGTGAGGATTTGTATGTGGTTTTATGGGAATTGTGCTAGCTTTCACCGTTAGCTGTTAGCTCTTCTTGACTAAGGCCAACACGTGCTTGAATCCATTTGGGCTTAAGTTGAAAAGTACGCTATTTCGCACACGCTTTTTTGCATTAAATTCACTGGCTCATTCCTTCTTAACATTCATATAACTTAAATTGCCATTCCATGTCTCAATAATTCCTTTACCTTACAGGCACTTTTCCTCTTGCGGAATGAAGCTAATCTTCCTACAACAGATGCGAAGTCCTTCTTCGTAATGAAAGGTAAGAATGACGAGCCTGTGTGCATTACATTATTGACTTGATGCAGTCTATATGATGATTCTGTTATCCCTGTCAGAAATACAAGTGTTGAAACCAATGGTATCTGACTAGCTGCATACTTACTTATGGAGTCACATGCTGCTGATGAATTGTCACTAAAGAAGCTTCTCTTTTCAGGTTCACGTGGGTCCTCGTTGACACTGGCTGAAAATGAGGAGGCCTGGTGAAAGGTGTGTACCACCCTACTGTGCATTCAATAATTAACTCCATGCAGTCTATATGATGATTCTGTTATCCCTGTCAGAAATACAAGTGTTGAAACCAATGGTATCTGACTAGCTGCATACTTACTTGTAGCGTCTCATGCTGCTGATGAACTATCACTAAAGACTTCTTTCTTTTTTTTAAGGTTCTTGAGGGTCGTCGGTGGGAAAGGATGCGGGCCTGGTGAAAGGTGTGTACCACCCTACTGCCTTTCATCCATGTTTCCAACTATTCAGTGACGATAACTGCTGCATAGGAAGTGCCGTCTTATGCGAAACTGACGATTGAAGCTGTTCTGAGAATTGTTGAACCTTCATGTTTATGAGGTGCATAATCTGAACACTTAATAATGTAGATGTTAAATCTCTCCCTTCAGGTCCCGATCAGTAATGAAAGCCTATGACGTCCCTCTGGTGCTGAAAAAAGTTGCTCAGGTAATTTCAAGTGCTAATGTTGACTTAAAGTCAAGCCAGTGATGAAAAAAGTTATCCCTGTCTGAACAGAAGTGTGGACCTATGGTAACCTGAGGCTTGACTGCAGAAACAGTTTGCTAACTGGTGGTTGGTTTTAAATGTTTGTTTCTTTCCTTGCAGAACAAATGTAAGGAGAAACCGATTGGATTGATCCAGAAGTCAGACTCTTCAGTAGATTTGTTGGTGTACAAATTAAATACAATGTTTTCTCTAAAACGTGTTTAATAAAATTGTTTGTATAAAACATTGAAGTACAATGGCACATCGAAAGTAACATGAATCTTATTGCATGCATTGGTCAATCTGTGTTGAAGGTCGATCTGTAAGATTTCTTCTTTAAATTCTCCAAGAACACTTGCTCTTCTTGGAGGTATTCACGGTCCTGTGGGGAGGTGGAGAAGGAATTATAATGAAGAAACTCAATGTTAAAATGTACTGATGAATGTGACTGTGGCATTTTGCTCCTATTGACAATAAAAACCTCAATATCAATCTTTGGTACTTTAATTTTATTTATGCATTCTAAGGTAGACGGTCTAGACCAGCTTCAGTTACATTTACCACATGTTTGCTTTTCATAACTTGGATGCTGTCACTTGTTAAATGGAAGAATAATACTTTCAATCTTATGCACCCATATAAATGATCACACAACTTTTACATACTAGCTAGAAATCCTAATGAAGGACCGACTCCAGTGGATACCTTTTCTGCCGTGTACTTCCAGAGAGTCAGACTAGCCTGGAGAGCCATGGACTGAGAGTTTGCCAACGAAGTCAGAGGTGGAAAGATCAGGGTAGATGTCAGCTCGGGGTTTGGCAACACTGAAGCTACACATACAAATAAAACAGTTATATCAAATGGGGTCATTTTGGGTTACTCTATATTTTATTATAGTGAACTGGATAAAGACCTCACCTGCTAGGCTTGGTGTCATTTGTGCAAACGAGCTAATGGGAGCGTCTTGTCTCAGCATCTCGGTGTCCTTCTGCAGATGACTTAACCGCGTTCGCTCCTGGATGAAAAATAGTTGTACTGTTACAATCCGTGTGATCAAAATATTTGGATAAAATAGAAGCCAAATCTGAAGAATGAGGCATAAAGAGCTGTCTGAGACTCACCTGAAGGATTCGTTGTTCTTGCTGCCTCAGCCGCTCTGTCTGCGAATGGATATGTCTGAGTCTCGCCTCGTGGTCAGTCTCCACTCGTTTTGCCTCCTGCAACGCTCGTTCTCCTTCCTCAAACTTCTCTGCAGCAAGCTGTAGAAAGCATGCATTGTCCAAACTCAAGATATTGCACATTGTTTCCTGCACTTCATTTAAGAATCACGGTGTTAATGTACCTTGCTGAAGGCCTCCACCTCCTGGGCTCGTGTCTTGAGTCTCAACGCGGTGCTGCTGATTCTGTCTTTCTCGCTGTCCAGTTCCTCTCTCAGTCTTTCCAGAGTCTCCCTCTCCTGTGCCACAACCATCTGCTTCTGTTTCAGCTCCCCGGTGTGAAGCTTTAAGTCCGCTTGGTCCTACAAGAGAAAAGCACATTTAAGTCCTTTAGTGTCCCGTCTCTCCCAGGGAGCTCAACTAAATGTACTTTTGAATATGCCCCCATTACATTATTTTACTGTAAGGCAAAGCATTTTTAAAGTATTAAGATAATTCAATTATTGAAATTACTTTAAAATACATTAGAAAAAACAGGCATTAAAAAGAGGAATGAATAGAAACAAACTCAAATAGAATACAAAGTTACAAAGTAGTTTGATTTATTAAAAAATGAATGTTCTTAAATCTTGATTCAAAAGTAGTTGGAGTTGCAGCGAACCTGCCGTTTTCTGTTAGTTTTTTCCAGATATTTGGAGAATAATAACTAAAAGCTCATTCTCTCTCTTGACTGAGGACAGAAAGCACCTGTCCCAGAACACCTATAAGAGTTCTGGAAGGTTTATAAATGAACCACATAATAAACATAATGACAACATTAGTTTTGAACTGAAAGGACCATCACCTGTGCCAGACCTATGATGGAGCCCTCCCTCCTCTCCAACAGACTGCTGACCTCCCGCTCGGCCCTCTCGTGCCTCTGCTTCTCCAGGGCGTGGAAGTGGGTCCAGTCAGCAGCCAGCTTCCTCCTCTCCTCCGCACAGTGCTGCATCACCGACTTCTGCTCCTCCAGGAGTGCACTCTGATGGAACACCACGGAGACACGCAGGAGACGTAAGAAGGAACCACGCATTGATTCGAGTTGGATGTGGATGTTCACCTGGCTCACCTTAGCTCTCTCCAGCTCCTCTCGTTCCATGTTGATCTGCATGCTGAGGGCGTGCCGCTCTCCCTCCAGCCCTCTCTGGGTAGACTCTGCCTTGGCCTGCTCGGCTGTCATCTTCCAGCGGTCCTGAGAAATACAACAATAAAGTCCGATTGTCAGTTGTTGACAGACAAGGGGAGTAACTGTATTAACTCACAGTTACATAAACAAGTACTGTAGAAAAACATCAGATGACTAGTACATTAAAACAAATCTGAGATTGCTAACAAGATTACAATACACACATTTGCTTTTTGGTCTTCATTTAGACTTTTTTCAAATACCTTTGACTTTCTTTACATCAAGTAGCTGGATACCTGATTTGTTAAACAAAAATACTCTTTCAAATACTTTTAAATGCATGCATTATACTAAACCTGAAAGGCAATTTATTTTCTTTAGGGTTATGGTTAGGGTTATTTTTGCTTTGCATTTGATTTGAAGGTAATCCAAAAGTAACGGTAAGTAATCAGGTGACATTACATTTATGTTCTACAGGTTACTAGTAATTGTAAACAAAGACATTTTTAAAGAAACCCTCCCAGACCTGGTTGGTGAGGGGAAAGTATCAATCTTCATTGCAAGCGTGTGTACTTTATGTATGCACTTGTGCAATGCTTAATCCTACAGATTGACCCTGACCTTCTCAAGTTGTCTCTGCTGCTCATTGAGCTGAGAGTCCATCCTGGAGATTATTTCCTTCAGGTACGTTCTCTCCTCCGCCATGGCCTTCTGCTGCTGGGCCAGACGCTCCTGCATCACTGAAACGAGCATTTGGAGAATGACCTCAACCCACTTGCAATTCAACACCGACCACAGTATGCTGTTAGCCAACTTGTGTTTTGACCCATTTGAACAAAGTGTGCACACTTATGTGTGTGTGATGTACTTCGAAGCTGCTCGTCTCGGTGCCGTGCCCCCTGCTCCAGGCCCTGCGCCGTGTGTTCATGTGTGCTCTCCACCCGGGAAGAGAGATCCCCCAGCCGAGAGGAGAACTGCTCCATCTGCTCAATCACCCCCGTGAGGGACCTGGACCAAGGAAACACAGTTATACTACAGTAATGTTGCACAAATCACAAAACAAACCTGAATACGATTGGTTGATTAGTGTTGAAAAGCTGTTCAAATACAGAAAATAAGAAAAATAATCATTCTAGATTCACTTTTCAAGGTGAAATAACAACGTAACTCTTCCAACATAGTGTATTCAAAATATCAGCACTGATTTCACACAAACACACATGGAACATACTACTAGTGTTAACAGGAGTGTGTATCGCAGTGTCATTCGTTTCCATCTAACCTGGTCTGTGATGTTGCGCTTGTTACAGCATCAATCTCCTCCTCCTTTAGTTTCTTCAGTCTCTTGACCTGGTCTTCGTGGTCCTTCTTCATCTCTAATATAGATTTCCTTAACGGAGAAAATACAGTCAGCTTCGGTCATTTGTTTATAATACAACTGATACGTTTATTGTAGGCTTTAGATGGGTTTTTTGCTTAGTTATCGGAAAAATGTGGTTATTTTTGAATAAGTTAGTTCTTTAGACATCTGTCCACATTCCAGATAAGAGGGGATTATGGGTATTACTCTGCTAGTCTACCCAGATAACTCGGTGAACGTGCCTCTTGAATCAGGCCCCGAATGTGCAGGAAGATTAAATCGCATTATGCAATATGAAGACTAAGCCGAGTGATCTGATTACTATGTTTCTGTCTTTTGCTTCAAATGGAACAATGATCTAATCCTGTGTATCCCCCTTTGTTTGTATTTTTCTTTCAGTCAGCATGTGTTGAATACATTTTATATTACTGGCTAGTGTGAAATAATCACTTACTGTAATTAGGGCTTCTTTACTCCCAATAGAAGTGCTTTATGTCAGGGAATCACTTCCATAGATGTTGACCTTTTGCCCTCTGACGCAGATGACCAACCTTTGCATCTGTTATCTCCCTTAAGGAGGGGGCTGCCTTAGCCATTTGTTGTTGTTACCAGTTTATGACCAGGCAACTTTCAGGTCTGAGATAGTTGATTGTTATGGGGACGTATGGAACACTTCCTTCCGTTTGATGAACCCAAGGTGTGAAATCTTCGAGGCCATAAGCGTCAACTGCAAAGTAATTCAGTATCCCCAGCTGTTTAGTCTATCTAGTGAAGAATGTTGATTACCCTCATCCAAACTAGTTCAAACCTCTACGAGAGGAAGGTTTCTTAAGGCATCTCAACCGTGTGGTCAGACCACGCCCGTGACATGTCTTGTGAGTTCTCCGGCCGAAGCTCCAAATAAACCGTCAGTGTTTGCCATCAAAGCTCCAGCTCTCCTCGTGTCTCTCTGAGTCCTGACTCCAATTGCTTCAGAAGTTTCCCCCACACTTTATACAATAACATAATGGTTTAAAATCCAATGCAATGTTTAGGTATGTACTGTGCCTGCCCTCGCAGCTTAAACATTTGCAATAATAGGCATTGTGTGTAGAGAAGGAACAGCTGTGTTTGCAGACCTCATGTTGACCTTATTCTGATTTCGTATAGACTTTACAACACACACAAAACTGGGTCAACGCTGTGAAAATGATATACATAGTACATGGAGGGGGCATGCACTTCTACAGAATGTAAGGTTGACTCAGAAACTCTTGTGATGGTTGACCTCTGGAGTATTAAACACCTGTGATATTTTCAACTGTAAGTGTTGGCAAGAGATCCTGACTAAAATGTGTCGCAGACTTCGCATCTTTCAACATTTCTCGCTGTACCTCTGGAGGTCTCGGAGCCTCTCCACCTCGCGGTCTCTGTCCTGCTGGGCCTGGGTCAGTTTGCGCTGGTACTGAGCCTGCAGCTCGGAGCGTTCCTGCTCGGCGGATCGCGTTGCTGCTGCCAGACGTTCCATTAGATCTTCACACTCCTGTCGCGCTTGTGTCTCCCTCTGGGCTGCCGATTCCTCGAGCAGCTTCACGCGAGCCCTGCACGTGCACAGAGATACGGAAAGCATGTGCTAAGCAAACATAAGCAGCTTGAAGTGCAGGGAATTATGCATAATGTATGTTAAACATGTACATAGGAGCACATTCGCCCTACATATGTTTGTGTGTGTGTGTGTGTGTGTGTGTGTGTGTGTGTGTGTGTGTGTGTGTGTGTGTGTGTGTGTGTGTGTGTGTGTGTGTGTGTGTGTGTGTGGAGGAATTAACTACTT